AGGGCGCATGCGCTCGCCAGACAGACAGAGAGAGACAGAAAGCGAGAAATCACCCCCCAGGGGGGATGGTCACACCATAATCCCTTCTCCTCTCGGGATCTTGGGCACGCACGCACACGCGCCCGGCATGACTTTTAAGCCACCAGGTCTGGAATGCGAACCGCAGTTGACTACGTGGGAATCCAGCGACATAGCCATTACGCTAACTGCCGGTTCCCATTTCCCATGGTTCTTAAAAGAAAAACCACATGTAAGAAAAAATCTAAGTAAAATTAAAGCTGTTTTATAAAGTAAAAAATACATAGATGAACATAGAGCGCGGTCTTTTTTTTCCCCCTCTACTGGTGGTTTTCGATTTGTTCATAAAAAAAACATGGCGAATGAAAGCAGGTTCTCTTCCGTTTACTCTGTAATTGAGCATGAGTGCTAGCGATGTGTTTTTAAATTGTTTTAAAATAGCTACCACATTTACATGGATCAATTGTTTTAATTATTTCTACACATTAAAACTAGTATTCCCCTCCCCCTCGGTCATAAGTACGATTATTAGTTTCTTGTATTTTGTTTATGAAAATGTTATGAGTATTGAAACAAGATGAGTACGTAGCTCTATCTTCCCTTTACCAAAGGCGAGAGGCTGCAAACCCTGTGATGAACTGTGCTTTTGCCATGGAGCAATGTCTCTTGAAGATGATGATCATAATGATCCTAATAACAGATGGCTTGATGGTTTTTTGTTTTTTCTGTTTTGGATTTTTGCCATTGGGCACATACACTCACTAAAGAGAGCCATAGAGAGACAGAATAAAGGAAGGGGGGGTCGTTAACCCCGGGGAGACGGCCACACCACCATCCCCTCTCCTCCATGCTCCTCTTGGAATTTTTTTTTTTTTTTTTGAGAGATTTTCACTGTAGGGCGCGTGCGCTCGCCAGACAGACAGAGAGAGACATAGAGACAGAAAGCGAGAAATCACCCCCCAGGGGGGATGGTCACACCGCAATCCCTTCTCCTCCATTCTCCTCTCGGGATCTTGGGCACGCACGCACACGCACCCGGCGTGAGTTTTAAGCCACCAGGTCCGGG